CTTACAATAAAACTACAAACCAGTCTTGGGTAATTGAGAATAATGTACTAAATAAAATTATTAAGAATGTTCATTATATAAAAATCCAAAGGTCTGTATGAAAGCTTTTAGCATTATTAACAAAGTCTTATGTTTATTACCTTCTTTGTTTCATTGGTTCTAATGAAATATATTTTAATTAATAAATTATTTCATATATAATCCATTGTTAGGGCTGTCAATAATTTAAAAAGTTATTTGTTTTCTGTGGCATTGGAGTTCCCGCCATTACGCATTGGTTTCGCTCACTTATAGAACGCGGTGTTATATTCTATGAGATAACCTTTTATTCTCAGTAAACCTCGCAACGGTCTTCAGAAATGAGTTATCTTTTTGTCCACTTATAGCTGCTTTCAATTTCATAGTCAAGGAGAATAAAATCATAACAACTTAAGACTACAGTTTACGCTTGTACACTTTAAATAAACACTTTTAAAAACGTGAGATATATTAGTTAACATATTTTTAACTATATTGCGACGTTTGGAATGCTTTGAAGCAGCTACGGGGGGAGAACTGAAGACTGCATAGCAAGTGAGATGTCAAATCGTTCCTAGTTTATTTAATTTTATAATTAAAATCGATTTTAGATTTTAAAAAATATTTTCGACGCAGGCACGAACTGAACCGGCATTCACCGCGTTCCGTTGATCCCATCTATTGTTAAGGTTATGTGATTTTATCACATTGCGCGAGAGGTGTAAATATATTTAAAAAGAATTGATGATAACGTGTAGGCCAAGGTACCTCAATTGTATTGATAGCAGATCTAGATTAAGAACTGTAATACATTAAAATTCCAGGCGAGTAACTGGCGATAGTGTTCTCGCCACGCGAGCCATTTTGTAAATAAACACTGCATAGCATTTAGATTTTCGCGTTTTTAACATGTGTCGCAAAAATGGTGGTTGCAAAAGACTTTTGACAATTATTGACATTAGTACACATTTGATTAGAATAATGTTGCATCTGGTGGGGATCGAACCCACGTCTGGGTCGAACTACGAGGACAAAAAAATATTCTATAATTAACGACCATCCGATGAGGTTTTACACATGCAGATGGCATTAAAGCTTGGCGGAATTGGGTGCTAGTGGACGTCCAGGTCCAAGCTGCGACGGGTTCGTTGGAAACAACCCGCTCTATCTTCCCACGGGCAACGACGGCGGTCGCAAATGACAGAGGAGAGCAGTTCACACGCTCAGCTCCGATTCTGTACCGTTTGATCATTCACTGTGTCATTATATCAATCGTTATGTGTTTTAAAGGGATTTATTGGTGTAGGACAAGTATGGTATAAGGAATATATCTAAAAAGATCAGATTCATTCATTTGAAAACTGTTTTTGGGAAAATAAGATAGTTATAGGGAGAATAAACATTATTGGTACTCATAGCTTCATTTGAATCGTAATACTAGTACTATATATGATTTTTAAAGGTTTTCATTCTTTAGCAATTTTTACTCAAAATCATTGGTTAGTGTTTTGCATAACATATATTATTATATACAAAAGGCTTAATTATGAATTCTTATTAAGGGAAGTGCAACAACGGGCATCTTATCCACTATCATATATAATATAATTGGCAAACGTAAAGCTCTTAATGTAATCAAGCAATTTTTGTATGACCATTAATACGGACATTTAATTATAGCCGAAATGGCGTCCAGGGTCATTGACCTAGCGTATTAAATGCAAAACGCGCCCGGACGCATCCGATTCTACTCGTGTGTATTCGAGCATCAAACCCGATGCAACACATCGATTCCCTCATTCCAGATTTTAATTAATTTGTCAGTTTCGCTCGACTTTTTAAATACCACCTTCACGCGAAATTGAACTCAAACACCATCTCATAGCGTCGATATTATAACGCGCTGATTTATCGCAATGTGCACTGATGAGTTGACGTCTCAAAAAGAGCTCAGATTGTCACTGAGTCGGCAATAATTAATTGCGAATTCGATCTAGACACGCAATTATCATATTAATTACCTTATTTCGTTAACTGTCGTATTCTTATCAATTAGGTGTGATTCAATTAATGTTTCGAAACGATTTGTTGAATTTAAATCACGATTTCGGCATTAATTTTACCAGTTTATAGACTTCTAGAACGTTTGATTAAGAATCTTATATATTGAATTCTTAATAATCTGTTTCAATACATATGAAACTCAACTTATAATTCGATTTATATTAAAGATATTGTAATAAGCAGAATACGTACTAAGACAAGTATTTACATACTATCTAATATTTTTTTATACTAACAAGATATTAAAATAAACACAACACATTATCACGAACAATGGTGGTTACAATTATTTCTAAACCAGAAAGCTATCGTACCGCAATTTATATAGTTATAGGAAGAAATAAGTATATAAGATATAAGTAATACCAATAATTAATTTCATTGCGTATATATATCAAATACTCTAATCATGGCAATTAACATATACAAAATGCGTTGATATATAAACCGAGTGAGTAGTAACATTTACACATGATATCTTTATTATTATCGTCTTAATATTACGATACTGTTTACGATCGCTTTAAAATATAATTACACGGTAGTCGACACACTAAATTACTGGATTAATTTCTATAAAAATTACTTTATAGACGGTGCGCGTTGAAAGGTTACCGGAATATATTGTTATTATACTTTTAAAGGCATCACGCGTAACATTGAAACAAAGTTATGGTCGCTACTGCGCATGCTCGTAACTCCTCAACAACAAATAAAATGCTTCTTTGCGCATGCACACGAATTGTACAATTAAGGTTGATAATTAATTTACTTTTTACATACTACACGACTGTTGTGTAAAACAGTGAGCTGTATATAAACTTTTCAAAAGAACTGACTGAATATATATCGATCGTTTAAAACACGAATATTAGTTAAGATATCTTGCAAAGAAAAGAAATGAATGGAATGGTCAGCTGACTAGTAGAACACTATATTTAATTAAAGATTTGAATCAAAGTTATTTACATATTTTTTAATTGGATGTTGTTCAATCTTTATGATGATTATTGATAGATTAATGATATATTGCAAATTGTTATTGTATCTTTAATCATTATTTATAGATAGATATAAGTAAAGTGAATGTTAGCTTGTTATACACAGATGTTTTAATAGCACCATCGCATTTAAAACGCTTCGTACGACGTTCTGTTTATCAAAAGTGCTACGTCAACGGTCAAAGACGCAGTCAGTCACCCAGGTGTATTTACTGACGCTCTGAGCTCGTATGCGCATGTTTTTATTGGTTATAAATTGTGACTGATATGGCGACCTGCCCAGGCCTTATGACTTTTTATTCTCATTTGTAACTGAACAGATCTGATGAGTTAAGAAGTCGATTTACAAATTGCTATGGAGCCGTCCACCATGATGTGCGCGCTCGCAACTTTTTCCCCATAATTAATGATCACTGATTATCATCCGCGCTTATGATTAATGTGCGTAATTAACTATTTCAAATCGAAAAACCATAACGTTTAATCGTGTTTTTAAGTGACTTTGCCTAAAAAATTAAGACCGTAATGAGTAAAAAATGTATTTACATTTGGAAATCGCGGCTCGATAAATTAGGAATTAACCTTTGATCGGCAATTTTTCAAGCGCAAAAGTGCGGTGCGGTCGCTCGACTCCGGCGCAGTGTATCACGAGCGCTAATCGGTAACATCTCGGCTGTCATCGGGCGGACTCGGGTCGAGTAAATCACGCAGCGGGGCACCCGCGCCGCTTATCGCTCCGCTAATCGAACCGCTCTAAATTAGGCTGAACATGACCCCGTATGATCGCGCAGCGCGTAATTTGTCCATTTTATGACGTCCTTTTTTCGATATCGATATGGGCTCTCGTTAAACTTCGTTTTTGCATGTCCCGTGGAAGTTATGTCTATTCGCTTTTGCGATACAGCATTAACTTAACACTAGCGCGATATGATCTTCTGTATTATATTATTATGACTGTATGAAATTTAAACATTGACTAAAGTTTTATTAATATGAATGTAATGATAGCCATTGTATTAGGTTCCCCGGCTTATTAGCATTGAGTTAAGTGCAAAGTCAAAATCAAATCAAGTAGCTAAACTGTATTATTACAATTAGAATATCACTAGATAAAGATTACAAATTTAAAAAGGACAGTTTGTATATAAAACATCATGTGATATAAGAATTCCTTCACGTTTTTATTACATATATTTTTATATGTTCTGCTTTAACTCAAAATCTTATTAGCACCAATGACAGTCGAATTGAGATAACTCACTTCATTAGTCAGAAATAGCTACCGATCGATTCCAAAGGAAATAAAATTGCGTTTGTACGCTCACTGCCGTCCACGGCAGTCCGCTCTCATAAAAATAATTCATATCAAAGTACGTGTACAATTTTATTACAGTCATCTAATAACACGCATAGTACTCCACGAAATTAACAAGATTTTTGATTGGAAAATGTAAGATCTCAGTCACGGCGTATTAACAACGAATTGGGTTTCTGTGGCACTTTTCCTCACGATAAAAACCACTTTTCTTACTTCGATTACGCTACTTTGTCGTTTTCCGTGAGTATTTTCATTGGAAACATCCATTATTTTGGGGTAATTAAAGATATTGTTATTTTATTAAACGATTGAAAATAAAATAAAGTCACAATATTAACTGTGAAAATATTTTATTTGTAAATATTATAATTCTTTACTACAATATTCAATTGAAAACAAGTATTTATTTTCTAATAGCTATGGTATAAAAATCTAATTGGATCCTTTATTTCAATAATTGCTAATTAGCAAGTGCTCTATCTCAAAAGGACTAGAAATTAAAGAAACCACTGCAATACAGCGATGTTAATTAGCAGGGTAAGGTGCTATATTAATTTAAATTATATGATTTCATGTAACAGTTTGTTTTTAATTTTCAGATGAACCAAAAGTGCAAAGTGTGCGGGGAGCCAGCTGCTGGTTTCCACTTTGGGGCATTCACTTGCGAAGGATGTAAGGTTGGTACATTTATATCTATAACAATTATTTGAACATATATCCCAAAATGTGGTAGGAATGATAACATATTTTTAATTCTTATTGCGTCCATCTGCAAGTATATACAAAATGGAAAATCTTATACACAATTAATACATATTAGTGTGTACTACTCGCGTAAACTACAGACAGTATTTAGATTTACACCTATTTTACGGCTCATTAAGCTATTATACTAACAGAGAATATAAAACAAAATGTGCTTCATTCCGTGACTAGTTTATTTACTTGTTGTCAGTAAATAATATTGTCCGAATAATTGTTTTCCAAAATTAACGTTTCCCCAAGTTTCAAAATGAACTTGAAATTTTTATTAATGAAACGATGGGTTATTTTTTATTTCTCACAGATAAGCAATGAACACCAATTACCGGAATAAACAATACTATTGTTAAGTAGTAAAACATAATATCTGCTCATAATAGCAACCGATGAACGATTATTCAATTAAAAATCGATTAAATGCAATTAAAACTTTAAAGTATTTCTAAATGGAAACTAATTAGAAAATAAGAATAGAAACTCGAGTAACAAATTGTATCAAGGCTATGACTATTTAGTAATTGTTTCACTTCATCAGAGATCAAAAGACTAAAAAAACAGCGTATGATTTTACACGACTCTATTTTTTTTTAAATCCACTGCACTGCACGTTTAGCGGAATAGTCCTCTCCCGGAAACCGGAAGCATACAATAATGTTCTCTATTTTTCTAAATTTGAAAGGTCATTATTGAAAAAGTAATTACTACTCTAAGTGTTCTCGTAGCTCAATTGTGAAATTTTATCTCTATTGTTAAGCATGATTGGTTCTGTGGTTGTAAACGGAGAAGTAATAAATTGTTTCGGGCAGACAGGGCACAAAAATATGATCAACGACTTAATTGTCATAACAATCGATGAATAAAACAGAATCATTCATTGCAATGCGAGCCAAATCGAAATCCGATCAAATAATTCTGTTAATCGTTCTAATTCCGATTTAGGATCTATTCATCCTGTCGTCACTATATCGCGTCGCACGAATTTCAACCTTAATACCAATATAGACTGCGCAGCGAGCAAAATAACCGCTCGCGCATCTGTGTCCGGGAGATATACGTCGATAAATATAGCATGCAATATGTCCGTTATAGTTTTTTGTCGACCGCACTGAATAGATTTCTCGTGGCTAATGTTAATGTAGTTACATCATTTGCTTAATTAGAACTCGCTTCGAGGATTTCCGCGACGAATGAAAATGGCGATTTTTTCAGATGGACTCCTGTTTAAATTACATTAAAGTGTCGATTAAAAGTGGAACACATTTTCGAGTCCATTACACTGATGGTTTATTAACAGGCAGTAGTTTAAATGGATGTGTGCTCTGCCCGAACGAAATAACTTTTCGCCTTCGTGGGATTCGAATTCAGAATCTCTTGTTAGAAGCAAGTAGTTTATTAGCCTTTTGTGTCCTATCTGACTGAGACTTTTTGTCTTCCGTAAAATCGAACGTGGTTAGCGAAATACTACGTAAAAAAAACCATTAAATTACGCAGATAGAACGCCAATACACTACAACATATTAACAGAATATATGTTTTTTTATAGTTAACATCGCTGCTGTTTCTAATCTCGACTGTTAACACATTCACTATCTTTAATAGTCAATTACTTGAAATGCACGATTAGTCAGGACACCCAATAAAAAGAGTTCTGGGCGACTTGTGTTACGATTTCTACTATTTATGTAAGAAGGGATTATATATTATTTTCCATTATTAGATCGAGTGTACGTACTATAAAAAGTCTCTTGTTAGAACATTACGTAATATTACAAAATGCGCAACGATTTGTATCAAGTGGAACAGAACTACAATGGGTTTGCGACAGCGCGGAAAATATCGACAGATGTCCTGTCCTTTACTGGGCAATCGGTACATCCTAAGGAATTACTAAAAGATGTAAAGTTTACTATTACAAATATCTAGACTAATATTAAGCTGAAGAGTTTATTTGTTTGATAAGATCATTTATTAAGGAAGGCCTTGGGCTATGTAACATCAGACAGACTGCCACGTATACGAGCGAAATAACAGAGAGAAATGTGGAAAAATTTAAGAAAATGATTCATGTTAAAGAGTTTTCGATGCGTGCGCTGTAATAACGGTTCAAGAAATGAAAAATATGTATGAAGGAATGAATAAAGATAAACAATAAATGATCTAAAAAATGTCCGTGGCAGTAAATGTCTATCTTTTAAGATTAACTCGCAAGAACGTCGAGACGCGGACGACGTCTGGTCGTCTAGCTATAATTTAAAAAATGGGGATGTTTGCAAAAAAATACTATTATCATGTTAACTATTCCAGGCGGACTAAGTCAAGAACGCGGCTAGTAAAGAATAAAGAGGCAGTAGATATTGTTAAATTTAGTAATCATCTGTCAGTGAATAAGAAGGTATATGTGTTTACGATTTGAGGGCCACGCAAGTAATAATATATTATGTTATAAACACTACCTAAATAGCAATTACACAATACTTAGAATTGGGTAAATTTCTGAAATGACTTTCGATAGTGATTTGACGGCAAATGGCTCGGCTTGCTCAACTGGGATCAAGCAGCATGACCGATGTTTCCGTGCCAACATATCATTTGCCCGCCGTCCGTCATATTCGGGCCATCTTAGAGAAGAGGTCATGGATCGTATCGTATTCGTATCCTAGTCGGAAATGACATTTCGTGCATTTTCGCTTTGATGGATAATTTATTAGTAAAAAAAAACACTTTGTACTTTTATACTTCGAAAAACCGTATAGGGTTTTCCCTTGTAGGGTTTCCGAGCTTTTTAGCAGAAATTAAGACAAGGTTCTAGCCTTAGCGACTTAGCTTAGAATTGATTAGAAACGAAAAATGATGAACTTCGGCTTGACAAGAAGTTCGCGAAAGCGTTTTATTGTGGATAGAGATTATTATTAATATTTACTTATCGTCGGGTTATCTGATTACCAAGTTTTAGTCCTTGATATTAAAATACAATCACCTCAATTCGATAATTACGATATTATGCAGTGAACTATTCCCACAATTTCATACTTCACTGTTTTTATTAAACGCTAAAGCGTCAATGCATTCCGCTGTCGACTATCCGTATCATTTACCATTTATGCGCACGCGCCGATCTGTATACTAAGTGGCTATTAACACAGAGACGTGCTGTCGAGTATTGAAGGATTCATTAAACTTTTTCTATGCTCATTGTAAGGATAATTCTTATAGGTTATTATGAAATCAATGGCATACCTATGGGCTGTTTGAAATAGTTCTCAAGGTATAGTTTACATACATGTCTTGTCGTGACACCATGGTAATATAACATACAAAGAAAGGCTTATAAAGTTTGGTAAGGGTGAAATCCTGACCGACCGAAATAAATTATGTTTCCCGGGATTCGAACCAGAACCAGGATGTGGTGATATAGAGGTTGAAGATTCAACGTAATTTGTTCATTAGAAGACTCTTTTTGTTAATTTGTTCTGTGCATTATATACACACAATTATTTTTCGTGATGAATAGAAATAAAATAAAAGTATTGTACATAATTATTCTTGTTTTATCGATCCTCACTCGATTAAACTGTACAACAATTAAGTAATAATCGATTTCTGTATATATTTGTATTATTTCAAGTTTTACACTAACAAGCGTTGCAAATCACGTCTAATCGCATCTAGATTCGATCCTAACGACCTAACCTTGCCCCAACCTCTGACAAATAATACAATCGATTAATTGCTGTCGAATTATGTCAGGATAATCGAGATAAAAAAACGGCATAAAAGCCGATTTTAATTCGAAATGTTAAGGATTCTTTAACATTCATTTGTCATTTAAATTTACCCGGATGTATGCGTGTAGCACCAGATCGATATTGATAGAAAAAAGGCTATCTATATATTTAAGCATGAAGCATTTCTAGTCTTTGGCCACCATTATTCGATCTTTTAGTTAATCATACTATTATGCTAGTATATTTCTAAATTAAAACTACCCAAGCAGGACTTGAATCTGCATCCACAGCATTCCATGCTGTTACGCTAATTAACTGAGCTACTGTATCTTACACGTCATCGTCGATATTTTTCAATCTATTGATACCAACACCTTACTTTTCTGTTATAAGTACTAAGTAATTCATTTTATTGTTAAATCATGGCTAAAGTAAAAGTGGTGAGAGCACCTTTTTTTAACCGATGGTGTGACGTGGGGAGTGTGGTAAATCGTATAGCCGACCAGAACCACTAAACACAACAAGGCTGTCGTCGTTGCGCAAGTTGAATAACGCTGTGTTATAGTATGATAAACTGTCTTTAATTATTTTGACGTAAACACCATTTTTGCATCAAGTTGTAATTAATTAAATCAATAGTCGTTTTATTTGTCATTTTATAAGCGAAGCATGAACGGCGCCGTTCTTAAGTACACTTTCAATCTGTTAAGAATGTTGAAGCAACGGCCTCCCATGATGTAACTAACCTAAGTACAATTAAATATATAGAAAAACTCTTAGCCTGTCAATCTGTAACAAGTAAAATGGATTTATGTCGTCAGAATCGTATCGAATCGATTCCCCGCCGAACGACATTGCGAAGCTTATTGTTTCAACTAGCTGACGGCCGTCGCCAATCGTCAAACGATCACACTTCAATACGACTCTTTCAATTACCATGAAAACCTAAATGAAATTAAAAGTTAGAGTTTTTTGTCAATGACTATACCAGACTGTTATAATACTTGTACATACGAAGTGCTTGTACTACATTCATATTTCTCTGTCAGTTGTAATAAGAAATGAAACAGACTTGACTCGGAATTTTAGAGCACGTAGAAAAATCCACGTTCTCACATCGATCGAGTTCCCATACCTAACACGGGCTTCCCATAAATTCTTATAAATAGTGCATAGAATTGGTGAGCGTT